TCTTTGGGCTCGGCGACGATGATTCGTGATTCGTCGTGTCGCCGTCTTGGAGCTCCCGGCGGGGAACTCGGTCAGGGGAAATTCTGCCGCGACCCTGAGGGGGCGTATGAAGCAGGCGGTGAGGGATAGCTCAGATCTGATACTCGGCCACTGTGGATCGGACATAAACTCACGTGACCGACGACATGCAAAGACCAGTTCTTGTGGGATCTGCGGAAGTGAAGCCTTCGCCAACCCAACCGGCACCAGCACCTGCGGAAATCAATGGCCATCCATCCATCCAGGTTCAGAGCAGGGGGACCTTGACTCGACAGCCTGACCTGGCATGTGATCAAGATGACGGAGAGACCATTGTCTCATCATTGCCCGGCCGCTGAGTCGGGACGAACAGCCGTCTGTCCTGTTGTCTGCTGACAGATGACGCAGATCATCATGCCCATCGGAACAGGCATCACGTCGAATTTCCTGCTGCATCGGACACGGAGCCTCTCAATGCACGATTCCGGGAAGGGCTAAGTTGCCTCTGAACCGCTTGCTGTCAATTGCGCCATGGGCTATTTCCGACACGATCAGCTTCTGCTGGATAGTGTTGCCTTTCCTGAGATGGCAAAGTGGCAGGCTCCTGTCCATGATGGCCACAACCACCAAAGCCCGTTGTTCTTCAGGGTCCAGTTCGTCCGTCGATCGCCGTCGTCCAAGAGAGTTGAACATCCGACGATCGAAGCTTGTCGGTGCTGCCGATGCCTCTTGATTGCCTCAGAGAACCGGGGTGGATGGAGTGGCCTAGTGGCTTGTGCCCCTTTGATTGCAGGGGCAAACACTCTCCCTGCCGTGTTTCCTCCCACGCCTCCGGTTTGCAATATCGACTTCATATGTTCTATACCTCTGCCTATGCTGTTGGTTATTATCCCGAGATCCAACCGTACGCCACTGATCGGCTGAGTCGGTACTCGGTGAACCAATGTCGAGGCCTCAGACCTGAAGCCTAATTACTGTCCCCCCCTCACATTGTCGCCACGCATCGTCGGACGACACTTCCGAGGACATGATTGAGCGTGTTTCTCTTCGCTTGACTGTGTACGACACGAGCCTAAAGCCTCATCTGAGTCCTCTTTACCCCTCACACACCCAGAGTACGACCCCTGACAACCTCATTATACCCCACATACGAAGCGCCCCGGGCATCATGGCGCCCTTCCCAATCTGGAAATCGGAGGAGCCATGCCTCCGAACTACACCAAAGCTCCGGCCTAGCCTACGCAGCGCTTGGCCGTTCCTTGGTTGGCAGCTGTCTCTCGACGCCATGTCTGATATTGCAACCCGACCCTGAAGAACGGGGCTGCGCTTCGCTTGGGGGGTCAGCCACCGGCCACCTGAGCAAGGTTGCCCCTGGGATCTGCCTCACCTCACCCACCCTCGACTGTCCCTATACTCGTGTGCCTTGGCCTCCGCATATGTCTTCGCACTGGGGGAGTCTGGCTCTGCGTGACGGCTCGGCATGTTCGCCGCCACGCCCGTGAGCGACACCAGGCACGCATGCTGCCTCCAGACCCCATGGGCCATATGCCGTTCTCGGCTCTTCGGATCCCCTCCGCTTGTCTCGATGGAGCCAGGAACCCCAGACAATGGCTATTCTCCGTCTCCGCCATCGTGGAGAAGCTCTCATTCCATATCGAGCTCAATATGTGAAGTTTCCCGTGATTCCGTCGACCAAAGGCTTGGCTCGAGCTAAAGCAAAGGGGAAGCAAACCCTCGCGAGCTGGTATAAGACGGTGGCATCTCGGTCGTCTTGTCACGAACTCTTCTCTTGCCCTCAGCCCCATCATCTCTCTTACGACTTGCGTTCTCTACTCTCACAATGGCTGGACGTCTCTTCCTCTCCGCTGCTCTCCTGAGCACCGCGGCTTTCGCTGCCCCTCTCGAGGAGCGCCAGGCCTGCGCCTCCCAGTGGTAAGCACTCTTTTGCCCGCAAGGCCCGACGAGACGGACATAGCTAACACCCTTTCTCAGGGGCCAGTGCGGTGGCCAAGGCTGGTCCGGCCCTACCTGCTGCCCTTCCGGCACCACGTGCCAGCTTCAGAACGCCTGGTACAGCCAGTGCCTGCCCGGCGCCGCTCCTCCCCCGGCCGTCACCACCACTCGCCCGGCCACAACCGCTGCCTCTTCCACCCGTCCCGCCACCACCTCCTCCATCCGCTCCACCACCGTCGTGAACCCCCCCACGACCACTGTCGCCCCTCCCCCTGGTACCACTGTTGCCCCTCCTCCCGGTACCACCGTCGCTCCCCCCCCCGGCGGCGCCACCTACACCGGCAACCCCTTCGCCGGCGTCAACCAGTGGGCCAACGCCTACTACAGGTCTGAGGTCTCCTCCCTCGCCGTTCCGAGCCTGAGCGGTCCCCTGGCCACCGCCGCCGCCAAGGTTGCCGATGTTCCCACCTTCCAGTGGATGTAAGTTTCTCTTTCTTGTGTTGGATGCTTGCCTGTCTTCGTGTCCCTTGACTTACAGTCCGTAGGGACACCACTGCCAAGGTTCCCCTGATCGACGGCGCCCTCGCCGACATCCGCCGCGCCAACGCCGCCGGTGGCAACTACGCCGGTATCTTCGTCGTCTACAACCTGCCTGACCGTGACTGCGCCGCCGCCGCCTCCAACGGTGAGCTGTCCATCGCCAACGACGGTATCAACAAGTACAAGGCCTACATTGACTCGATCCGCACCGTCCTCCTGAAGTACAACGACATCCGCACCCTGCTTGTCATTGGTATGTGTCCACGTGCAAAAAGAAACAGCTGGGTGTGAAGCTAACAGGTCAACAGAGCCCGATTCGCTCGCCAACATGGTCACCAACATGGGTGTCGCCAAGTGCTCCAACGCTGCCGCCGCCTACAAGGAGTGCACCAAGTACGCCGTCCAGAAGCTTGACCTTCCCCACGTTGCCCAGTACCTCGATGCCGGCCACGCTGGCTGGCTCGGCTGGCCCGCCAACATTGGCCCGGCCGCCACCATCTTCACCGACATCTACAAGGAAGCCGGCAAGCCCAAGTCCCTCCGTGGCCTCGCCACCAACGTCTCCAACTACAACGCTTGGAACGCCTCCAGCCCCGCCCCCTACACCAGCCGTGAGTCAAGGACCTTTGCTGGCCGTTGAAGCACCCTCAGCTAACACAGTGCCTACCAGCCAACCCCAACTACGACGAGAAGCACTACGTCGATGCCTTCGCTCCCCTCCTCCGCCAGAACGGCTGGGACGCCAAGTTCATCATCGACCAGGGCCGCTCCGGCAAGCAGCCCACCGGCCAGCAGGAGTGGGGACACTGGTGCAACGCCCTCGGCACCGGCTTCGGCCTGCGCCCCACCTCCAACACCGGCCACCCCGACGTTGACGCCTTCGTCTGGGTCAAGCCCGGTGGTGAGGCCGACGGCACCAGCGACACCACCGCTGTCCGCTACGACCACTTCTGCGGTAGCGCCTCGTCCATGAAGCCGTAAGTTTCCTGATATCCCATTATCTTGACGACGAACCATGTAGCTGACAGTGACACAGTGCCCCCGAGGCCCGGTACCCTGGTTCCAGGCCTACTTCGAGCAGCTTTCTGCCGCAACGCCAACCCCTTTTTTCTAAGCGGTTCATCCTCGGGTCTAAGGTTTCCCTTCGACAGACGGACAGACGAACAGGAAAAAAGGATTGGCGGGTTGCCCTGCCCTTTCTTGACGGGTGGCTAGATAGATTGGGAGCTGAGACAGCACTAGTGCTGGGAACTTTCTTGTACATACTTTGGAAGCATCCGACACGATTGACGTATATATCTTCAAAAGAACATACTTTGCCCCGGCCATTGTTGCATCGCTTGTGTTCACGTCATGACGTTCGGTGAGTGCTGCGGGTCGTTTATGATGCTCTGGTGAGGTTGTTACGGGAGATTACCTGCATCACAGTCATGGACCTTCAGAACATGGCGTTGAAGCATCTACCGAAACAGCCATCCAGCTAAATGACAACTGTTGATGGTGGTATCCAGGCTGGATGGCAGGGAACACAGCATCACAAATATTGTCGTGTCGTCATATTTAGGAATGCTTGGGTTATAAATGATAGGCCAGGCAGTTAACTACTCACTTCCAAGTCCTGCATTTGTCAACCTCACGGATTCAGCACGATCACCTGGTTCAACATCACCAATGCGCGTTAAGAGTTGAGCCTCATCGTGTATTGGCATTCAACATCCTCTTTTCAGAAGGACGCTATCTGTAGCGCAAGGCAAGATCTGCAAGTGACGAAGAAGAAGCGAGCGACTGTCCCCAGATCAAGCAAGGAGCGGGACGGTGATTTCTTCCCGTTCTTTAGGCCTTGACGGCAGCGATCTCAATGGGCAGCCGGCGGAAGCCGCCGCAGCAAGCCACGTCCTTCTGCAGCTCGACCATGCGCTTCTGGTCGCCGGTGGGATCGCTCGACTCGCCCTCGAGCTTCCAGCCGAGAAACTCGTTGGTGTAGTTGGGCTCGAAGCTCTCGCTCAGCACGCCGAGGCGCTTGCCGTAGCGCGTGACCTTGTCCCAGTCACGGCGCACGTTCTGCAGGTCCTTGGAGAAGTAGGCATAGCTGCGCTCAAAGATTTTGCGGTTGAGGTCCGAGCCCATGACGGGCTTGAAGTCGACGTACTCGGCCCACGCGGCCTCGGGCGCGGCCAGGACGTAGTCGGTCGCGCGCTTGACGGCGCGCATGAAGGCGCGCACGCGCTCCGGGTTCTCGGCGATGAACGTCTCGTTGCCAATGTAGAGGATGGAGCAGAAGCAGCAGCAGCCGAGCTCGGCGAGCTCGTCGATGCGCAGCATCTGCACGTCCGACTTGGGGCGGCCCTGGCCGGCGAGCCACTCCTCGAGCTCGACCATCTGGACGTTCTCCAGGCCGATGCCGGCGTCAATGTCGCCGCGGATGATGGCCTTGGAGACGTTCATGCCGCCCCGCACGGCGGTGTAGTCCTCGGGCGACATGCCGTAGTGCGACGTCAGCTCGTCGATCTGGATCTTGCCGAACTCGCCAACGTAGCCGATGCGCTTGCCCTTGAGGGAGCGGAAGTCGGTGGTGATGCCCGAGTCCTTGAGGTACACGACGCCGGTGAAGGGCTCGTCGAGGAGACTGCCGATGGAGACGACGGGGAAGTCACGAGCCTTGGCCTGGAAGGAGGCTGTGTCAGTTATGGAGGGGAGGGTCGGAAGAGGCGACACAGCTTACGGCGAGAGTGTGAATCATGGCCTTGAAACCGAGGTCGACCTTGCCGGTGCCGATGATTTCGGTGACATCCTACAGGTGAACCATGATTAACGAATTGTCAAACGCCGATCTAAGATCAGTTTAGTCAACTCACGCTGGGGTCGTTGGGCTCGAGGAGAGCAACCTTGATGCCCTCGTCCTTGAAGTAGCCCTTGGCCTGCGCCAGGTACAATGGTGCGTGGTAAGGGGTGGCGTGCCTTTGTAAAAACACACAAGGTCAACGGGCAGTCCACGGCATCACGAAAGCCCGATTCCTCTTACCAGTTGGCAAGAAAGGTGATCTTATCAGTCGACATGATGGAAGATCGGGCGTGACGCTGCGGGGGTTAGTCCAACACCATCGGGCAAAGGCATGGGGGATAGGGGGAGTCTAAAGAAGCATGTCCTTTCGCTGGTATTATCCAGATCAAGTTCGCCGGTATTTCTCAGATCGACTGCCTGCTGTGCCTGGTCTCGAGAAGGATGGGGGTTGACCACCAACTGAGGGAGCAGGACACGGCGAGACAGCCGAACACCCGGATGCATTCTTAACCAACTTTACCTCGATCTGGAGATGGTTCCATGATGAAAGATTTCATGTTTCTTTGACCGCAAGGTCACCGTACCGAGTACGTTGTCAATTGTGAGTTTTGTATGATTGACACTGGGTCAAGTGGTGGATGTGTGATTAAAGAGCTTCAGGGTAGCATTCGACCTCCGTAGATGAAGGGGGAGTCCGCCCCAAGATATAGCTCCAGAAGAGGGGTCGAAGGTTTGAGGGGTAAAATCTCGGCCTGCCTTTCGTTAGGAAACTAATGCAGCTGGGCCCCAGGCGAGCGTGGGAGATCTGCCCTGTTCGTCCCAACGGAAACACATCACGAAGACGCGGCTCAACGCGGGCCAAAGAGAAATCCCGCACATTCCGGGATCGGTGCAGCCTCCGGTTGGTCTTCTGAGGCGTGGGGCGAAGGCTTGTTGACGAAGACACTGGTCTGATAAGGGTACAAAGACAAGTATCATGCGGCATCGGCTTAGGCTGAGGGGGTTCTTGTAATCGATTTTAATGCTTGGCAGGTTGCGAACTCGTTGCTTGCAATCGAAAACCGTCAATTGGGGGTATCATGGAGCTATCGTTGATGCAAAAGTAGGCCATCCATCAAAACATAGTATGCCAAAACATCACCATCGAGACCAGACCAGTCAAGAATCCGAGGTGGGTGCCGAAACTGCCGGCGCCGTCTTTATGATCCTCATCGTCAGGATCCGTCGGAGGACCTACAAGAGGCCCCCGCTCGGGTCGCTCCGGGTCGCCTCCTATCGGCGCCCGGATCCAAGACTTAGGCACCTGTGTGAGGAAATCATACCAGTATCGTCCCATCTCCTTATAGCCGTTATTGTTGGGATGGATGCAGTCCTTGCGGAGGTAGTTGCCTGTGATAGTCGTAAAGTCTGCGACCAGGACATGCTTGCCGTCGTCGATGCGCTCCTTAACAACACCGGGGATGAGCGACTGAAATTTGCTCTCGCGCTCTCGTCTCTCCTCGTCGCATGAGCTAATGATAATGGCAACAATGATAACGGCATCAGGGCAAGCCTCGACCATCTGGTCGATCAGTACGCCGAGTCTGTTCGCGGCTCCTGTTGGATCGTTGCCCTGAACGGAGCGGTCGGGCCGCGCGCTCATGTCGTTGGTGCCGGCATGCAGAAGGATGATGTTCGGGCGCTGTTCGAGCGACGGCCCAACATGTTCGTTCATGAACTGAATCGTCTGTCCGCCCCAAGCAGCCTGTCACAGTAAGTGTCTGATTTAATCTGATTGGAATGCCATTGATGGGCGCGGCGAACGTACAAAGTATCCATCTGGAAGGATCCCCCTCTGTTGATCACCGGCGAAAAAGATTTCATTGCTCTCTGGTCATCATCAGTATTTGATTCGCATGCCGATCGGAGCTCTTTGCGTTGACGTA